ACAAGACACAGATTGAGACTGTAAATTTTCGACTTTATTACAAAGTCATCTTCAGACGGAATGAAATACAATACTTTACAACGCATATATATACAACACAGAGAGAGAGCGCACGTGTCAATCCAGCATGTAGGCGGAAGGCCGGTAAACCAAGCAGAGCAAAACATGATAAGGTTGTGAATAAAACTAAATATGTATGCTATATTTACAACAATATGTTAGATAGATTAATTTAAGGAAAGAAAGACCCGACAATTAAAATAGAGAGATTAAGTGAACAGTTGTAGTTCTTTGCTGGCTTTAAGTCCAGTGTTAAGGAAAGGTTTGAACCACATTGTATTCCTAAAGAACTACCTCATTTAAGAAAATTTTGCTTTTGTAAAAAGACTAATGTATTCAAAGATTATGTACCAGTGAAACGAAACTAACTAGACATATTTCATGCAAAGACTGCATGTTGTTATATATTTAGGAAATTGAACAATTGCCAATTTTACTGAGTTTAGTATGCACGTTTCGGAAGTTTCCTTTTTGTCGCCTAAATCAAAAGTTGGTCTATTATGCAAAAGGTCCATTAATGGGAGATAGGTCCTGGGTACGAGGGGCTGTTGAAGAATTGGCAGATTTATTCAAATATATTTCGCGCCAAAACAGACTTGCGCAAAAACAGACGTAAAATAATAATGACAAAAATAACACAAAGGCATTTTTCTACTTTGCTGCTTACTCCAGAGCATTAAGTCAAAATACTTACTGTGAAGGAGAGTAGTTTCATTTAGTTTTCGGCTCTTTGACTGTCTAGAAACTGGCCAATAATAGACGCTAATTCTCAAGATGCACTTAAAACAATATATTAGTTTGCTGTTGTTATGTATATTACTGTTAATTTCGTACTGTTGTCTCTACGCAAACCAGCTGTTTGAAATAAAGTCCTGAAATAATTCCAATATATCTTGATCACAGTCGTGGTAAGTCATTTTAAACATTATAATTTTATTTCACCGACTTTGCTTCAAAAAATGCAGCCAAAACTTCGAGTAATTTTGCTATATTTTTAGATTATAGTTGTCCTTAGATATCAGGTACTTAATAACATTTTCCTCAAGACCACTTTAACAAAGAAACCATATAAAAAGAGTATATCAGTATGATTTGTATCAAAACATATACATCAGCTTTCTCGACATGCAATTCAAGAGACTTGGTCGGCTCCATTTAAAATTTTGAAGTAAAAAGCAAATTTTTTGAAAAATACTATAAAAATTAATTAATCGGCCGTTTAAGATTGCATGTTACCAGCGTTTGCCGCGAAATTACGACACACGAAACTGAGGTTATCTTAAGTGACACAATAGATATATTCTTAGCTTTAGAATATTTCAAGTCTTTTAGAGATTTAGTGTAAAATACAAGTTTATACTTTTATCTAATAAAGTCGTTCACTTAAAAGGAAGCAGTACCTAGTTGCCTAGCGCCGTGAGAGAGGAATAAACAAACTATGTGTGCTTATTGTTACGCAAATGAATGTCAGTCACGAGTTTGCCTCAATTATGTCGCACAATTAATCTTTAACTTAACGGCTAAACTGACGTTCGAAAAATATCTGCTGTTGCAGCGTTGTTTAAGTATGTTAGAGTATTTTCCCCACGAGGCAAAAATCTCAACTTTAGCGGTAATCTGAATACATATCATGCAAAATGTCACGTTTTAATCAATTTACCAAAAATTATTAAAATACTGCTTCACGCAATTTAAGCAAGTGAATATAATTTTCTAATTACTTTTCATTCCCATGCAGTAAAGAAATTTCAGGGTTATATGAGTTAATTTTTATTTTCATTGTAGGAAAATTTTTCTTACTCCAACTGAAAGTTGAAGAACCATGCAATTTGAACATTTCTTATGCCTATATGTCCCATGTATATCACTTGTAGTCGTAAATGCCTTATCAAATGAAACAAGTGCAAACATTTGCTACAATTCTAGTCTTGAAGGTAAAGTAAAGTTTATCAGTATCAACATATTGTCAGAATCCAGGAAATTTGCACGTCTGCAGGATCTTCAGAATTTTTTGTTTTAAATAAAACTATATACCTCGCTAAAGCTGTTTCTAACTGATATAAATTACGAATGAGGACTAAATAATTCATCCCTTTTTTTATCAATCATCGAAGTATAGGCCTAATCTTGCATGGAATGATGACAGTGAACTGATCGAAAATTTGTAAAATTGATTCAGAATTTCTTCTTCATCGACATGAAGGGATAGATATATATTTCCGATGCTAGTTTTGCAAGTCACAAATTTTAAAATTTATAGATGAATTGTATCAGTATAACTGAATTGTTGGAATACAATGGTTCAATGCTTGCGGAAAACTTGAAATAAACGCATTGAGCACACCTAACACAGGTCTCGACACAAGACAAAATTGTCAAGAAATATGGTATTGTTTTTTCAGAATCATCCGATATGTGGATATATATCCCACACTTACGCCTGTATTCAAAAAGCTCACTCACACTCATACTCATCGAGTGTGAGATATAATTTTCGTTAATGCTGATCAATGAGAAAGTTTTTTCTGAATAGATGGAAAGATATAAGGTAAATCACTGAAAATCAAGCCCCTATTCGGCTGGAAATACCGCCATTGAAACTTTATGAGAAGATTAAGATCTCCCACTCAATGAGTTTGAGTGTGAGTGAGCTTTTAGAATATACAGGCGTTAGATTATTGCATGGGACGCAATTGGCGTCTCACTTACCGATCGTTTCCAACGGTTTCAAAATAGAGCAGCTAGCGTTATTACTAGCAGTAAAACTGAGCATGGCCAATCTGAACTCGCTATGGACGAACTGAGATGGAAACATTTGGGGAAATGACATTGAAATGCCTTAAAGCTTAGCAATGCGAAGGTTTTCCTTAAAATAACTATTTTACACTTTAGGATTCAGACTGAATGTAACAGTTGTTAACACAAAAATCGTTTCTGAATGGATAGATTGCGTAATGGAGTGTGCAACTGAGATATGTTGTAGATCTATCAACTTCAAGAAGATATTGGCTTCAAAAAATGATTCAAATTGTGAAATGTTACACAACGTGGTTTACAATACATCTGAGACATTACTGGAGAAGAATTCTTCCTATAATTATGTTTATCTTGTTAACCCACAGAAGGTATGATTTATTGGCATACAGTATATCTTCAACATTATATTAATTAAATTAGGCATTTGAAATAAATGACAAAATTTTAATAGCAAACTTGTTTCGACTTAACTATACGCCATCTTCAGTGCGAATGAATTACTATTTTCATTGTGAAATAATTATATAAAGTAGAAATATTATACAGGCGAGGTGATACTCGATGATTTACAACAATGATTGACAACATAACAGGATACAAGATATGCATAATAAGTAGAACAACACGACAGACAAAAATTAAACTTGAAAATAGTATTAAAATGCAGAACCTGTTTGTTAATTAAGGTCTGGTTTGTGTTTATATTTTACATTATATATTTCACAATGAAAATAACTAATTCATTCGCACTGAAGATGGCTTATAGTTAAATCGAAACATGTTGGTTATTAAAATTTTTGTTGTTTATTCAAATGCTTATAATTGCTGTTGTGCTATTCAGATCATATGGTAAGATTATATAAATCAATTCTCGCTATAACATTTAAATAAAAAGAGCTGAACATAAACCTGACGGCGTTAATAGCAAGGTTTCATTTTGTTGGATGGTTTAGCGTTGTCATCATCGTATATAGCAAAAAAGCAAGAATTCTTCTTCATTACAGGGTTACAAGAAAACCTGTTTAAAAAACACGTCGGATGAAAATGAAAGAGGTATGTGTTATAAAGATATAAAAAAATTAAACAATTCAAAACTGTAAAAAAATTGCTAACTATATTACAAGGCAACGAACGGGGAGAAATAAAACATATCTTGCATGTGAGCATAGACAATCCAGAAGACAGGGACTGGAAACGCAAGCTAAAACACTTATAATGATGACGCGCCATCCGTGATATGGCTTTATCACGTCAATTTTTAAGTTGCTACGCAACCGGGCTATTTATCCAGAAAAAAAAATGCAAAGTAGATTCAGCAAAAGTTTGCATAATTTTTTTATTTGAAGGATTTTTATTTTGAAATATTATATTTCTACCTGACCTTTAAGTCAGATAAATTTTCAAGGTAAGTGCGTTTTCATTTTTTATTTTGTGTGTAAACAGTGCTCATAGTTCCAGTTCCAGAAGTGTTTGCATAAAAAATATACACACGTAAAAATAGATAGTTTTTTTGGGACCGGGTAACTTAAAATCAAAGCTATAAATTTTCTTTGACCACTTAAAAATAGCATCTTATATTACAAAGAATGCATTAGAACCAGGACTGCAGCTTGTAACTGCATGCAGATTAGTGTGTCAGCCCAACAGTAAGAACCTTTTTCAGTCCCAACTACAAAAGGATCGCCATGTATGCACTATTAATTTGTACACTGTAACTACAATTTTGATAAATTGAGAAACTTTGCTTTATACAGTGTAAAAAAAAATAATACAGGGTATACATCTGTTATCAGCCTCAATAACTGCATGCGTCGTGATTTGATGTTAAAAGGTGACTATTAATTTTTTGTTCTCATTGAATATGTACCTAGTTGGGACCCTATAAAATCTTTTCGACCCAGTTTCATTGGATCATTTTTATATATTTGACACAATAAATGAACTAATTGTGCACTAATCGCATTTTCCAACATCGTCTTAATCATAGTTACTCTAGGGGAATGGTCTGGAAACTTCATGACGAATTCCATGGCCTATCCTATTGTCTTCCGTTTTGTGGTGTGACGTCATCATTACCGTGCACATCTGCATATGTCTTCAAGTACTTTAGCACAGAGATTTTAGCATAATTACAAACTATACACAAATTTACAATTAAATAAGGAAAATTTTAATTTTTTTTGATGCCGGGTGATAATTGTACCTTTAATCAATGCGGGACAAACCGTAGGACAAAAGGATTCGGACTGTTTAAGCTTCCAACGGCGAAGGACGATGCGAGCAAGAAATGGTGGCAAGATTTTTTGAACATCCTTACTAAATATGGAGTTAAAGACAATGATTTTAAAAGCCAGTTTGCTGCTGATTCGCTACACGTTTGTGAGAAACACTTCCTCCCTGAAGAGATCAACACTTGTAAGTCAATCAATTTAATAGATGTAATATTATACATTTATATAGCAGCAATTAAGTTGCATCATTTGCAACATAATAAACATATTGTATTACAGTGTTGACAACTGTGTATAAATCTTGAACTCATGCGGCGCACGACTGATCCTGGTTTGTTATCGTTCACTGGATTTGCATTTATATTTGAGTGTGACATTTCATAATTTCAGATCACGGCCAAAAGCTGAGCAAGAAGCAGCTTGTCCATGGAGCATTGCCTACCCGAAATTTACCAACCAAGCCATCCGACCCTTTATTACGAAGCCAGAAAAAAAGGAACGAAAGCATCAATCCATTGTGCAAGAACGTTTACCAGACTCCACAACAATTTGTTATAGGACTTTGTTAAGGAACTTGCAGGCAGGTTGAAAAAACTTGTATTAAATGAATGGAGTGTAACATGTACAGAAAATGTTGTTCGAATATGGAAAGTAGATGTCCCACATATTATTCCAATTTCCATCTTAAGACATTCAAAAAGACGATAGTTTGGGATTTACTTTAATTGTATATGGCTGGTTTTTTCCAGAAGGTCATATGATCTACAGGAGTACTAAGCGTAGTCTTAGAGATATCACAGTTTCAGATTTGATCAGCAAAATACTGCAACTTAAAATCTGTAAAAACAGAGGATGCTTTCACCGGCAACTCAGTGCATCATGTTCTGCCAATCAATACTGATCCATTTGAATGATCTGAGGCATCAAGTCCTTTTCCGTGTAACGATATAACAGGGCAACGAACTGTAAAGTACTCATCAATGAAGGTGAAAGTAACTGTAGTGTTTGTCAAGACAGCAATCGTATTTAGGAGGTGGCAAATAGAAGAAAGCGAGCCAGAGAGAATGTTCCTGCATCACACAAAGCTCCTGTAAGCTTGACATCATCCAACCGCATTAAGTTAACTCTTCAAGTTCAGAGGTTACAGTGCAAACAACCTGAGCATGAAATAGAGAAAATGAAGGTTGAGGTTGAATGAAAAAGCATACCAGTGACAAATGATCTTATAGTAATGATTTACTGAATATAATTTCTTACAATAGTGAAAAAATGACTCGATTTGTTAAACTGTTTTGGGATTAACAAAAAAAAATTGCATCACGTGCAGCTGAAGGACGTCGGTATCACCCAATGATTATTAGATAGTGTATTTCTATAGCTACTAAATCGGCATCAGCATACGATGAATGGAGGGAGACATTTAAAGATAGCACAATCATATTGCCAAGTAGAAGGGTGCTTCGAGATTACGCTAATGTTATACCACCCAAGACTGGCTTTAATCTTGGAGCAATTAAAGAGTTGGTGCAAACTACGCAAGGATATAATGATTGTCAGAGATATGTTTTCATTCTTCCTGATGAAATGAAGATTCAATGAAACCTGATTTGGGACAAACATTCTGGAAAACTTATCGGATATGTTGACCTTGGTGATCCTGACATAAGTTACGCAACTTTGGAAAAATCGGAGGATCCTGCATCTCACGCTCTTATGTTTATGGTGAAAGGTATTACAACAATTTTAAAGCACACAATTGGATATTTTGCAACAGCTGATGTTACTGCAGTGCAACTTTTTCCACTGTTTTGGAGAGCTGTTAGCATATTGGAGATGACATGTAACCTGGCAGTTGTCGGTACTACTGCTGATGGTGCCTCTGCAAATAGGAAGTTCTTTTGTATGCATGAAATGATGCAGGGCAGCAGTGACAAAGATTTAGTCCATTGTGCTAAAAATCTGTTCCAGCTTGACAGAAATATTTACTTCTTCAGTGATCCACCACATTTGTTAAAAACGGCACGCAACTGTCTCTTTAACTCTGGATCGGGTAATTATGCCTAATATTATGCACTGAAGCTTCGGTTCTTTTTACAGATTTTTATATTTTCTATTTAAACAATTAACCCTTTAAGTGGCAATACACCCTGATGCACCCACTTTATTATTTTACTATCTCTAACACCAAACAATTTTACTCATGAAGGGAAGAGAGTTGTCACTCAATGGTTAATCAGTATCCTGTAAAATAAACAACTATTTTTCCATATGATCAAATCTGTGAAAAGACAAGGCTGGAGAAAATAGTTCAGAAGAAATTGTGACCACTTTATGCCAAGGGTAACAAAGAATACTTTCGTTGATTTTGTGAGCCTTAAATTGGCATAATTTTTACTGGTGAAACATTAAATAGCTGAAAAACTGAAGGTAGATTTTCTGGCTTGAATTGATTCATATTCAATTTGCGACTCCTGATACGGTCACCCCCAAAACTGTGATCCATAGCCGCAGCTTGGAAAGCAAATTTGTGCAAACTCCTGATTGAAATTTAAACTACTGTTCTAATTTGTACACTTTACGTGTTTGTTTATTTCATCTTTTAAAAATCCAAGAATCTATATGACTGCATACAAAGTTTGTATAAAAAATTGTTATATTTTACTCTGTCTAGCTTCATAGAGACTGCCAGATAGTTTTACTCTGTTGAATGTCAAAGTACTCGCTTCACTTGCACCTTAACACCAAGCACTCTCCACTTTTCAAATAAGACAAAAGTAAAATAGCAATGTACTGGTGCACTATGAGGCATTTCAATTTGCCAGATGTCTTAACACAACTTTTTACCCTTTTAACTCATAACTATATCTATTTGCTATTTATTATTATTTGTCTTACCTTTTTTAGGTAATCACAAAAGGCTTCTTTAGAACAAAGGAGATACTCTGTTGTGGAATCATATATCAGAGATGTACTTCTCTGATCTTGAAGATGGGCTACACCTTCTTCCAAGGATAACCACCGACCACATTAACCTGACATCTTATTCTGTGATAAGGGTTAATCTTGATTCTCAAGTGTTGAGCTCAACAATGGAAAGTGTGCTGAAAAGGTTTGGTCCACTGGAAGCTGGAGGAACAGCGAAAATTTGTGAAATGATGGACAAGTTTTTCGACTGCTTCCATGTGCGCAGTTTATCAGAAGGTACCAAGACACGCAAGGCGTTCCTGCTACCATATGAAGATGAAAATGACAAAAGATTTTCATGGTTAACAGATGAGTTTCTCCACTATCAGCTTGAATGACGTAAAAGCATTAGAGAACGACCTGGTAACTTTGATGAAAACGCACGGTTAAGGTTCAATATGTTCTATAATTCAGTCAAGACAATGTCAACTTACTTGTTCAATCGCTTCTTCAAAAGCGTGTTGTAGTTCTTCCTCCCTGTCTAAAACATCAGAGTGTAACGCTCTGAAACCGCGTCGATCTCGATGATCTCATCCTCGCATGGCTCTCAGATGTCTCTTCACATTCTGCCATCTTTATTTTTGTGCACGTTGTAGTACCACGTGACACCCTAATTTGCGCGGCCCAATATTATATCGACGGCATCCTTTGAAGTTCATGAAGTCTCCAGAACATTCCCCTAAAGTTACTATGTCTAAATAGTCTAAATATATTAGAAAAGTTAAATTATCAAAAAAATGAGTCCGTTGTATTTTTTGCTACACCGAGAGTCGCCATTGTTGTTCTCGAAATATGTGCCCATTAAATTTACTTTAGGCAAGTTTTAGAGCCTCATTTGGAGATAGTTTAAACAAAAAAACAATAAACTCTTAACTTATTGCTTTTACCAACATATTCTTTGCGTTATTGAGGCTACAAATCACCTAATAACTGCGTGCGTTGTCTTTTTGCTGAGAAGTGTCTCTATTGTTGTTCTCAAAAATGGAGTTCTACGTGAACGGCAAAATATGCGGACCGTATCACGGAGGGCGCACGCAAAAACAATACTGTTTCCAGTCCCTGTCTTCTGAATTGTCTATGATGTGAGTAATAGCCTTTGGCGCTTTATTGATTTTCCATTCTTATTAAGAACGGTCATTTTAATGGAAACGATAGTCTGGTAGAGTTTGCCCTCACCAACAAGTTTGGTCAATGAGTCCGCGATATGTTGCTGTTCGATAGCGGATGCACCATTGAACACAAACAATATAAACTTATAATTTTCAAGCTAATTTCCATATGCAAATACTTAGGAAAAGACTGTGCTGATATTTATCACAAAGGTTTAAAACAAAGTGGAATTCATGTAATTAATCCTGATGGAAAGGGAAGTTTCAAAGTGTTTTGTGATATGACAACATCAGGTGGAGGATGGACTGTATTTCAACGTCGTCTTGATGGAAGTGTTGATTTCTACCGAGGATGGCAAGATTACAAACAAGGTTTTGGTAACTTGAGCGGGGAATTTTGGCTTGGTCTTGACAGAATACACATGATGGCCAATATTTCACAAAATGAACTTCGTATCGACTTGGAAGATTTCTCTGGAAATACCAGATACGCTCATTATGATTCATTTAATGTCAGCAGCGAAAATGAGAAATACAAGTTGAATGTTGGAGGTTATCATGGTAAGCATTTTACACTAAACTGAGTCTGATTTTATAGGATTCTCCAGCTCTCTTTACAATCTCTTTACAAACACCTTGTATTAAAGTCACATTTCAAAATAATGCATCCAGGTTCGTTCTAACCAATTAAAAAAATTTCAGTGAAAAATTTATCTCTCATTCTCAAGACTTTACGAACGTCGACTTTTATTCAAGTATTTAGGATGAAATGTCAGTCAGCTTGTTGTGACATTTTTATTAATATTTTTCTTCAAGAAAATGCGATATCCATTGCGTATTTTACCCCATATTCGTTCCGCATTTTATCCCCAATATCCGTTCCGTTCCGTCGATAAAGTTTCGCATTCGTATCCGCATTTCAACGCTGGTAGGCGACGAGGCGCACTGCGCAGCGTTAGCTATTAGTCATATACGACGAGTGCGAATAGAATAACTGTTTTATTATATACATAAGCGTGGGATGAAAACAAATTTCAAACTTATTCGTAATTGGAACAATGGTGAATACATTTGTTTTATAAAAATTAAATAATTAAATCCCGTATCGTGTTTTTTTCTTCCAACGTTTTAATACAGAAAAACACACACAAACAAATTAAATCGTTTTTGTAAAAACAATTTGTAAACATGTAGTTTTTAACCTACCTGTTGAATTCTTTTGGTTCAAAGTTTGTCGCTCTGTCTGTGCACTCTGGTGTACTTTTAACAAGGAAAACTTGAATTTCATCGTTCGTCACTTAACTCCCCAAATGTTGCCACAATTTTGTTCACGTTTACCTACTAGGTAGATATTAGCATTAATATCTCATTATATCTGTCAAGTAGAGAACCAATCAATTTGCACGTTAGCTCATATCTGCTTGTGTATATTGTATTTTGATTTCTAATTTTATTTTATTTTTAAGAGGTCGTGCATATACTTTTGCATTAAGGTACAGCAAAAGACTCCTTGAGAATACATGACGGAATGGCTTTCACCACCAAGGACTCTGACAATGATACTTGGGATGGTGGTAACTGTGCAGTGTTATTCAAAGGAGCCTGGTGGTATTATGATGGTCATCATTCCAATTTGAATGGTTTGTATCATTATGGCCCACACACATCGCACCCTGATAAAATCATCTGGCAGCATTGGAAAGGATATAAATATTCTCTGAAATCAACATCGATGAAGATACGACCACGTGAATTTGGAAAGAAGAAATAGAGTTGATGAACAATGAAGAACTAAAAAGAAATAAGGTTTACTTTATAAAAAATGTAGTGTTTTTTAAAAAAGTAGTTTTCATAAGTACTTGAAACAGTGTATAAAAATATATATATAGGAGATTCTTCTCCTACGCTTAACCTAATCTTAGTTAAATAGAATATACATGGTTTGGCGACCACATAAAACTTCTATACAACTCTATACAACTCATTAACTATGTTAAAGCAAAAATTTTTTCCTTTGTCATCACGTGTCTATTGTATTTTGCTTTGCACAGATAAACCAATAGCAATCTTATAATTAACATATTTTTCGTGTTAAAGTTGAGGAGCTTAGCAAAACGAATACCATTGGTACGTCTGGCTGAAATACAATAGACACGTGACGAGCCATGTTTTGCATAAACCTGTACCATAACATAGTTAATGAGTTGTATTGTACTTTTATTTAGTCTCCAAACCATGTATATATATTCTGTTAACTGTGGTCTAATCCGAGATGAAAGTTCAAAAAATGAATCGACTAAATGAAAGTGTATTTTAAGTTGTTTATTATAATTACAAGCATCTAATTTTCATGACAGCTATATCTTCGCTTGTCACAGTAAATAAAAAGAGAATAGCTACGAAGGTAATAGTAAACTTATGTAATTTGAGTTTTAAAAATAGACTATATGCATGCATGTGTGCACGGGCAGATGGGTTTGGCAGACTTTCCAAACCATCAGGTAATGACGTGCACGCAATACGAGAAAGATGGTGAATTGCCAGCAGCAATATGACATGGATGAGGCACACAACTTTGAATGTTTAGTATTAGTTTGAGCAATGTTGAGGACAAAACAAAGACTTAATTCTATCCAAAGTTGTCCCTCCTGTGTATTCTTATCCTAGTTTCGGCTTGGTTATTTTTATTATTATTTTGCTCTCGGTCGACCCCCAGCGTCGCTTGCTGCAGGCTACATCACCCTAATCCAGGCCCTAATCGGGGACCTGCGCACAAGCTGCCAGGCTATGGTTAACCAAGACTCTGTCATTGGAGCTATTGTTATATCACGTGTTGTATTCACTTAGTAATCTAATAAAACTGAATAAAATCACAATACAATCACACGAGATCCCACTGGTATATCACATGAAAACTCTAGTCATCATCATCACTTTATTTAAAACACGTTAGCCCCACTCAACTTTAGTAATAGTTGATTTCCAGGAGGGGCGTGTGAATAATACAAGGAAAAATTGAAAATAGTACAATATTTACAAGAATAGAGATAAATGTACGAAAGACTAATCAATTATTCTATATATATTACAGATTAAATGGAAGGCTTGAGATTAAACGCTTGAAGTGCCTAACTGAGGTAGCTTTTTTTGCTTCTGTCGGAAGATTATTCCACATACTTGCCGCACGTAATTGAAACTGCGTTTTAAAAAATTGGTTCTTGGTTTTGGTAATTTTAGATCAGTGTCATAATTTCGCAGATTATAGTAGCCCTCCAAATCTCGGAATTTTATAAAATTATCATTAAGGCCCGGAGCTGAAAAGTCCATTGAAAACTTTATACAACAGAACACTCTTTAATTTAGCACGTCTGACATTAAGAGTGTCTAAATTTAATTTTTGCAATATCATGCTGGGACTGGCATCGTAATTTGCACAGTTGTGTAATCGAAGTACAAGAACGAAGACGACAAGTCATATGAAAATGACTCAAAATGCGTATATCTCAAAATATAGTATCCCGAAGGTCGTGGGTTCAATTCGCAGCCAGGTCAAGTAAAGTTTTCTCTTACTTGCCCGGTATGCTTTCAACGTGACTAAAAGTAGCATTTGCCCGACAAATCTCGTATCGTGTTCTTCTATGTATCAATAAAGACCATGATTCCATGCGATGTGCTCATGTAAAAGTAAAACTTAATTAATAAGTTTGAAACGCCAACACTTCTATAAGTCAGTCAACAAGACCTCAAGATGCTAGATTTCTGTATGAACGACGCGATCTTAACGTCCAGCAGGCGTCTTGTCGACTGGTTGTATGAATAAAATGCAAATTTGTCAAACAAGCGATCGCTCGATTTTGTTCTTAAATCTAAATTTTGGTGATGGTCATGACATCAAACGAGTATTATTTTCATCAATATGTGTGTTACCACATGCAGGCTTTAGTTAAATAATAATATTAACATCGACAAAAACCTTTTTTGCTAAAAAGGAACAGTGATATTTATGAGCAGCTGCAAGTGTAAGATGTTTAAATATTTGTTGACGCTGATACAGTATTTCAGTTTTAAACAGGTGAAATGAAGTAAACTTTTTTAACTTATTGCCGTGTTTTACGGAAACATTCAAAATAAAGTGTTGAAGATAACCCAACTTTGACAAAACTGTCAAAGGCTAAAATGGCCCTGGGTATACAAAGTTTGAAGAAGAATTGACAGATGGAGAGTAAATAAATAATAAATAATAATGTAATGCTCGGCGCTATACGACTGTTCATACACTGCCAAATATTAGACGTTGATGCTTATTATGCAGCTTGCACTTAAATAATTTATTTGCTGTTGAGTGCTACTAACATGCATATTAGTATTTTACTATACTGTGCGTCCATGCATCACAAAGAGTGGTACTTAAAAAAGCTAGCAGTATTATATATCAACAAGGGTCTTAACTTCGAGTGGAATTATACAAACTTCAAATTCAAGCCAGGAATAGTTGATGGAAAAATGAGTCAACAATTAACACATATACACCAGCTTTCTCGACATGCAATTCAAGAGACTTGGTCTGCATGTATAATTTTAAAAAATCTAACTCTTAGACATGAAATCGGCAGTTTGAGATTGTTAACAGGGATTGCCGAAACTCCGAAAAACATCTTCCAGAGTTACCAAGTCAGACAAGAGACGATTTAAACGATTTTTGTAGCGGCCAGCTTAAGCTTGCTGTTGCTTGCTATTGGAAACATTTCAGCAAACCAATGTTCCCCGACGAATTACGACATAATCATCAGAGGTGAGCAATCTTTGCGCGTTTGTTCAGTAAAAATATTGTCGCGAAACACCTTTTAAATACTCCATAATGGTAAAACACATAAATTGTACCAAAAGCGCTACTAAAACACATAAATTTAGTTGAAATTTGGATATTAATTTGCAATAATTATTGACTTGTTAAAATTTTAGGAGGTCCCTCATTGCCTGAGGATGAAATAATATCAAGACACAATGTTACATCGTCAGTTGTCATGTTAGGATGTCACACTCGCTGCAAAGACGAAGACAAATGTGTTGGATTCAACTACAAAACAAAAAAAAATGTTGAAAATTGTCAACTGACCAACGTTACTAGAAAGAAAGAAGAAACGAAAACGGGAGATTGGAAATTGATGCAAGATGTTGAAGCGGTAAGATCGATAAATTAAATGATATTATATTTTGGACTCCAAATATCAGCTAGTGAACTATTATGTAAATCAATAAACAAGGCAAAGTCAGTGATATTTAACTGTTTCGATTATGCAAAACACAATCATTTCAAACATTGATAGTTGTATACCGATGATGAACATACGCAAAATATAAAGGATGAAAATAATAAATTGACATTCGACAGTTTCAGTATTTAACAAAAGGTGTTGCTCGAAATTTGTTTACGATTGTGTTTGAAGACGTCAAAAAACTGTTCCGAAGAAATTTGGAACTTAAATCTTTCGGCACAAATTAACTAACATTATTAAACTATGGTTTTGGCAGATTTTTTTTGTTCTGCGAAGAAGATTAAATTGTTCGCATAAAGCATCCGTAGTACAAGTCGATGTACGAATTTCAGAAATCCGTATATCTCCAGGCAAGGTATATTAGCCAGTCAATTTCATTTATACTTAATTAAATAATTTCTCCGCCGCCCCAAATTCCGAGGCCTTTACGTCCATGACATCAGAGATTTTCATAGCAGCAACAATGTGAAAGATAGCAGAAGTGATTTACTAGTTTTCCTCACTTCACAGGGTACTTTATGTACAATTAATGCATGGTTAATAGTTTTAGTAATAGAAAATTAACAATTTCGTCGACCGTATTTGATGCCAGACCCCTGACACCCACCTAGCTATGGCAAAGATCCTGCCTGTTTACATCAAGTTAAACTAAACGCTAACGTTAACTGGACCAGATCCAGATCGAGGCCCCGCATTCAATAAACAAAATAGTATGAAATCTGTAGAATAAGTTAAGAACGCACAACTTTCAATTTTGAATTCACGAGAAAATACTTGTTATTATTAAAATGTAAGAAAATATTTTCTTTTATCTGCGATCTTTGGACCACTCTTAATACGTGCCAAAATACCAACTCTTTCTCTCTTAATTCATTCCCGTCCGATCTCATTAATTTATGACGTAAATGTCATACTTTTTTCAAGTCTAATAACTCCGTGAGTTCGCGCGCAAAAAACAGCTTGAGAAAAGTACGACTAGGGTACCCATAGGGTAGGGAGTTCTGCCTGTGAGTAAGCCATGCAATGAAAACATTAAACTTTTAGAAGAACAGAAATCACAACTACCGTAAAATTTTTTTACGTTCAAGAAGAGATTGGAAATATAAAATATAGTACAAAGTGCTTAGCTTCAGCTTAATATCATTATTTAAGGAAAATGACAAAAACAATATTGTTCCAGAACAGAAATGTTCTACGAAACCTATCAATAAATTGTTTTTTATGCAACGGAGCCCCCAACAGAACTTAAATTTGTCAATTAACTTTTGATGATCTAGTGAGTGTCTTAACAAGACACAAAAACGAGGCGCAAATACAGCAACAAAACAGAAGAGTCAGCAACTGATGACAGACAATAATTCAAAAATCAATGCATTCAATTACTGATGCAACTGAGAACAAAGACTCCATTATATAACAAGAGTTGAAGCCTCACCTTCGGACCAAAATATCAACCTGGAAAATATAAATGAACAGTTAATAAACACCGCGCGCTAAACAAACAAAACA